AAGATCAAATTTCATTTTCTAGAAAGAATATTGAACTGACTTTGTAGGTTTTCTCTCAACGCAGGTCAATTTAAAATCCTTTTTTTTTTTGTTAAGTTGGAATTTATTTGGATTGGTCTTTTCTTTACACAATCCTATTGAATGAATAAATGAGAATGATTAAGATATCATCCGCATTAACAATTCGAAACAGTGATTATTCGTTCGATTTGTAAATATCATTGAATTATTAATTTCAATATTAGTAGCAAATTATTAGAGCTACTACTTATATTGAATAATGTAAGCTTTTTTCTTTTCTTTCTTTTGGTCCTCATCATGCAAGCTTTAATATTAAAATAGAATGTAAAGATCTACATGAGTTTTTTTTTTGTGTGGTCTAGAGTAAATAATTTAAAAATCGAATGTCAAATTAAAATTTAATGCAATATTGACACCTCATCAAAAATGATTTATCTTCGACTCTGGTGCTTACACATCATCATCATTACACATTAACTCATCTTTTTAAAAATCTTGTTTTCTCTTTTTATATATATAACGAAAAGTTGGTAAAGTTCAGGAGGAAGAGGAAGAAGTTGAGGTTGTGGAAGTGTCGTCGAGGGGACTTCCGGCGAAACCAAAGAAACTACTCAAGAAGTCGAGAGAAAGTTCCGGCAAGCCGGGACATATCAACAAGAAACCTTCCTAGTTTTTTTACTTTAATTAAGTAATAATCTACGGAGAAATTCTTGATTACAATTTCTTCTGATTGATTAGTATAATAAGGAGTATCTATTATTTGTATTGTATAATTCCTGAAGATTGTAGTAAGTTCTAAGAGATTTTTTCTTAGGACATGGTAATAAAAGACAAACGTGAATCTTATTTGTTTTTTTTTTGGTGAGAAACTTGTAAAAGAAATAAAAATATCACGTCTTTCTATTTTAAAAACAAAACACTTAATTTCAATCTATGGGTTGTAAACTGTATAAATTAAATAATTAACTGAATTATCGCGGTCTAGTGGCATTCTTAATTTTACACAGAACCGACACCAATTTATCCGAGATTGAATTTCTTCTCCTATAGAATAATTGAGCTAAAAGGCCGGTCTCTCTGATGATCCAAATGATGGAACAAAACGAGTTGCATGAATATTTTGAGGTCATGTGGTATTGTGGTGGTGTCTCACTCTCCTTATATGCAACAAAGTTGATGATAAGGTGTGTCCCTACTATATTTCGTGCAATTAAAATAGTGTTATGCAAACAAAAGGAAAGTTATTTATTACATTTCGCTTTATACACATGTCATGTAGCTAAGCTACCCTTGAATATAATTCATTGATTGGAATTAATTGCTTGAGACTCGTATGTTTAGAATTAGAATATTAATTCGTATTACAAAAACCCGATGATTTCTTTACATAATAACTTGAAAAAGGTACAAGTAAATCGATTTTCAAGTGTTCACCAATTTTAATTAGAACTTGAGGGTTTTAAAACAACGAACTCTCTCGAACCATTCTTAGTGGGTTTCGTACTACTTGTCGAAATTGTTGGTTTTCTTCCATCAGCTTTAAAACAAAGAAAGAGACGGCCACTCGAATAGAGGAAGCAAACATATTCAAGGAGGATGACCTAATCAGAGTTAAAGAATAATGATTTGATCTTTTGGTATCAATGAAAATCTGAGGAGAAAGTTGCACAAAGAGGGAAATTAGAGGACAGAGGAAGAAGATGCAGCAAGAGAGAGATAAGAACAAAAGAGATTGTTGTTGCAAGCTCATCACTCAAACTGTGAAGGCTTTCTTCGACTGCCTGAGATTCAGATTCAGACACTCGTCTTCTTCTTCAGACATGGTGAAATCTAAAGCAAGAAATGTAAAAACTGAATCATTCTCTCGAGGAGTGTTTA